GGAAGCGTGTAGCTGTTTTGTGTAACGCAGGCAAATTAAATATAATTATATACGAAAACAGGATTGCATGTCATGATATCAAAATTTATTGGCTAATTTGTGCATTTTAACGCTTTAATAATTGAGGTTATTTTTGATAGGTTTTTTATTATATTTTTCTATTTTTAAGCTTAAAACGCATTTTGAACTAATTTTCAATAAATTTAAACGTTTAACTTTAAAACAAATTTAACATGTTATGGATATGTTTTTTTATTTTTTTGTTACGTGTTTCTATATAGACACAACAAATTCATAAACATATGTACAGGGTGATCCCCTATAATGTCGCCCCCCTTTAACTTTTTTATTTTAAGTGTCCCAAAAAATTTAAAAGTGTTGTTATGTACACTCTTAGAAAAGACCTGGTATTTGCAATGAAAATTTAGTTCCCAGAACCAATTTTATTAGTGAAAATAGGCACAACAAAAAAATATGTTGTGGGAACCAATACAAATTTGTTTTTGCAGTTTGTTGTCGGAACAGCCAATATTGGTAGCTCCAACCAACAAGTTTAAGTGCATCGAAATTAGTTTTTTTTTTCATACAAATAATTGATATTTAATGCAATCACATTAGTCTGTCATTTTAGCAGAGTTTAAGTTGTAACAACTGCACTTGCTATTTATCGCAACAAACATTGTATCATGCAGGAATTTATTTTTTAATTGAAATTACATGAGAAAAGGTACATTTAAAGAATTTAATAGTTGATATAATATAAATTTGTTTTGTACTGTAACTAAGTTATATTTAATATTAAATGCTTGCATTAGTAGCAACAACAAATTGTTATTATTCCACAGTACATACCTGCTTAGTAAATATAACACTTTTTGTGTAAATATTATAAAAAATAGAGAAAGGAAATTCATGCCCGTTCGTTTTATAAATATTTATTATAAATTAAAAAATAACAATATAACTGAAAACACCAAATTTTGGTTTAAACATTATAACAAAAATTAATAATTACTCCTAAGAAAACATTTATAAATATTTTAACAATAAAACAAAAACGATTCCTTGGTAAATATACACAGATAGGTACATTAAGATGAAAGTTGACTATACTTCTTCAGTAAACCGTGATGTTTACGTGAAGTGCAAGCCTTTGTTTAACAACTTAACAATGATTCTTAGGTACAACGTAACATACTTGCATGATAACAGGGGTAAGCATTCGATAAATTTTGAGTGTGAGTGCCTATAGTATAGGCCTTATACCAAAAATGCGACTTGAGCTGTAACAAAACAAAACAAAAAAATTCTCGAAATTCCGACGTGATGGAGACTTTTGGTGGGCACCATTGGATTCAGGAGGCCATTTTCAGTCAGAATGGCATTTTCACATTTTTGGATTTTTTTTCGGACCCCAAAACTACAATAGTGTAATTAAAGGAGTGCAATAATAATACCTAACCTTTAAAAACTTGAACCAATTCAGGTAAACCCCATGTTCCTAATAAATCTGCTTTTTCAGTCCGCTCATCCATATTATTTGTTCGAAATATCTATAAGTAACCAACACATAAGAATAGTTAAAAAGTATGTCGCCACTGAATTTACAGGGGCAAATGACTAATTGTAATAAACTAGTTTCTTACCTAAAATATACACTAAACACGAGCTGATACACAAATATAAAAGAACAAACACCACCGAAGTCTGGACGCCGTGCAACACCGTTTGTTTACAGGTTAAAAGTAAAGCACGCGCCGGGCTGGACAAATCGCGCGCGAAATGCACAAAGTTTGCAGTTGCATTAACCTACAGAGACAACATCCCCAACTGACACTTTGTTTCACACCGCTGGTGTCTTAGCTGTGTGAAAAGTGACGCATAGTTTATACAACCGAACCGTTAGTTCCGCGGACTAATTTCAGTCAGTTGAGAATGTTACTTAAATATTTGGTCCAACAAAATCATTTTACCGCCGAAATGATTTTTTTGAGATAATGTTGCAATACTTCTAGCCAACACAAAGTTTCAGTTAAAATAACTTAATCGCCTTTTTGCAGTAAATAATACTCAACAACAAAACTAAATCTTTTCAGGTAATGATGCAAGCAGTTACACATATAAAGGTACTGATTACAAAAAACAAAAAATTTTATTTTCTGCAACAGTTTTACCCCAACGATAATAAGTTAGTTACAAATACCAGGTCTTTTCTAAGAGTGTAGGTAAAAAATACTTTTTTTCTACGTATTAAAAAAATGAAAAATTGATCAATATACAGGGAAAATTAAAAGGTTATTTTTTTTTCAATGGAACACACTGAATTTATTTTTCGATTCCTTGTAAAATTCTGAGCATAATTCATATAACAAACCCTATCCTAAATTCAACTGTTTCTGAAATATTCGCATTCAAAATGTTATCATTAAATGTTTTTTTAAACTGTTAGAAATTAAGAAGCCTCAGTATACCAAAATTTTTATTGAAAATAAATTATTATAGTGACATTATGTCAATATGTCTTGTTAAATAAGTAAAAATGGCCTACTCAGACAGAGAAAGACAAACTATTTCAACTTATTATCTTAAAAATAATTTAAATATTTCAGAAACGATTGAATTTAGGTATATGGTATGTTTTATGAAATACCTATGCTTAGAATTTTACAAGGAATTGAAAAAAAATAAACTTTTTGTTTTTTCCTGTATACTGATCAATTTTCCAATTTTCTTTATACGTAGAAAAAAAAATTTTTTAGGACCTACATAACCACATTTTGAAATTTTTTCGGACACTTAAAATAAAAAATTTAAAGGGGCGACATTATAGGGGATCACCCTGTACATTATGGGTTTAACTATAATTTTATTTGTTACAGGCTTTCAGAGGTTACTTAATTTTAATTTATCAAATCAATCAATGATGGTTGCTGACATCATATGTTTGTACTATGTACTATCTTTAAATAAATTAGTCCTAAATGAAAAAGCAGCCACTAATAATTCTCGTCAATAGCAATTTGTATCCCGAACATTTAGCAGTCAATTTCCATGTAAAATTGGCCCCTGAATCCAAAAATGTCGTTAAAAGTTTTCTTATAATATGGAATTGACTATATACTACTATACTTTTTTTGACGGTACTTTAGGATTCAGGGAACAATTTCACATTAGAATTGGCTGTTAAATGTTGTGGATATGTGGTATCCCATGGTTAACCATGGTATAAGTAAAAAAGCAGCCACTAATAACTAATTTTAAGAGAGTATACTTAACAAGTTAAAAACAGGTTTAAGCGCATAAAATGTACATGGTGATCCCCTATAATGTCGCCCCCCTTTAACTTTTTTATTTTTAGTGTCCCAAAAAAATTTAAAAGTGTGGTTAAAAGTGTACTAAAAAATACTTATTTTCTACGTATAAAAAAATGGAAAATTTATCAATATACAGGAAAAAACAAAAAGTTTTTTTCAATGGATCACTCTATATATGAATTTATTTTTTAATTTCTTGTAAAATTTTGAGCATAATTCATATAACAAAACATATACCTAAATTCAACCGTTTCTGAAATATTCGCATTCGGAATGTTATCATGAAATGTTTTTTTAAACTGTTAGAAATCAAGAAGCCTCAGTATACCAAAATTTTTATTAAAAATAAATTAATATAGTGACTTATGTCAATATGTCTTGTTAAATAAGTAAAAATGGCGTACTCGGACAGAGAAAGACAAACCATTTTAATTCATTATCTTAAAAATAATTTAAATATTTCAGAAACGGTTAAATTTAGGTATATAGTAAATACATATATAGGGTCCATTGAAAAAAAAAACTTTTTTCTCTGTATACTGATCAATTTTCCAATTTTCTTTATACGTAGAAAAATAGTTATTTTTGTATCAAGGCAAAAAAGTCGTATTTTTTATCAAGAATGTGGAAATTATTTAAGACGTGAGTGATAAAAAATTACTTTAATGCCGAGGTGCATATTAAATTTTATCCGAAATAACATTTAGTAATACTAATAATTAATATTTATAATTAAATGAAATGTCATTTGATGATCAAATCAAATGTCATTTGAATGTAGAAAGTGTCTAAGTATACTGTTTGTTGCGACGGTTATTATATACAAATTTGCCAGCCGCGGCGATTATTTAATCTAATTAATAAAATTAACATATTATTTTTATTAAACAACATTTTATGAAAGGGTCCAATCGACATCCGCGACGGTGCTTTTTTTAAAACATTATTTAGTAGCTGCTGAGGAGCAGTAGACACATCTTAAAGTAGAACTTTACTGCGGATTTCGGATAAAAGTATTTTTTAGTACCTACATACCCACACTTTTAAATTTTTTGGGACACTTAAAATAAAAAAGTTAAAGGGAGGCGACATTATAGGGGATCACCCTGTACATTATTTATGAGAAAACAAAAAAAAAAATTAAATGTTAAAGTTTAAAAAATAAAAACATATACCTTTACAATTACAAATATTAAATATAAAACTAAGACTCGCCTTAGTATAGTTTCAATTCACTAGAAACCACCCTTAATAACTTTTGAGTAATAGTACCTAAATATGATATATGAATTATGTGTCGAAAGGTATAGGGTGTCATTCAAATTTTTTTGTAGCTAAAGGGTATACCCTCTATAGAGGGTTTTGTTTAACACTGGATTTGTACTTCCTTCTCGATATCTAAATTGACCGGTTTTTGCTCAAATATTATTTTATTATTTTATTCTTAAGTATTTTATATTTAAAAAAAAATAACAAAGCAAAATGTCAATGCTTAAATTAAAACAATCTCCAATAGAGTAGGTATTAAGTTAAGGAGTTTACAAGTCTGGATTGTTGTAGTCGGGTTGTAATCCTTTATCAAATATTGAAGTTTGCAGAAGAGAAATCCAAAATCAATAAATCATAAAGTAAGTAGTCGTCGAAATAATATAGGAAAATAGAATTTTAAAAAAGTGAAATACATACAGACAACGTCAATTTTCCAATGAGTTTCTTGATAAAGCCCCGTAACATTTGGATTTTCGGCTCTGCATGTTATGGATTTTCCATCGTCTTCCGTCGTAGGAACGAAACTTAACTCACTTATTGTTACATTTTCTCGAGTTTCTTCCTGAAAATAAATGAGGAATTATAGACCAATTAATTTAAATTTTAAAGTAGACTATAATATTTAAGAATTTCCTCTCTTTGGTTCGCGATCGCACAAAAAGAAAAGTTTACTTTTATACTGGATCTACTAAAGACTTGGAGTATTAAAATAAGGAATTATGATCAGCCAACAGAAAACTAAAGTTTGCTTATGACAGCTACTAAATTTATTACATTTAATGCTTAAAATGCCAAAATAAACCTAACGAATGCTCGCTACAGCAATTATGTACAACGGAAAACGCAAACATTTATTTATTAAATATTATAGTCAACCAAATACAAAAAAATAAAGGTCATTAAATATGTATTAACTTCAAACATACAAAAAATTAAATTTGCTTTTGTAATTTACTGTTGCATATTTGCATTAATAATTATTAATATTTTTAATATTATTAATAGTTTTTAAAATAAAAATATACAAAAGCGTTCAAATATCATTTTATTGGTAAGTAAATAAATTCGAAACTGGTAAAACAAAAATCCATTATATTTTAAGTACACAAACGTGTTTTATATATTATATTTATTTTGAACAATAAAACCAAATTTTATAATAAAACTAGCATAACATTTTTTTATTGGAATAAATAAATTTGTTATAATAATAATATTAAAACAATTATTTCTTTTAATCTTAATTTGTAGCTATTATAAAATACATAAAAAAGTTAAGCTTGCATAGTTAGACCTGGGTCGATAATTTTTGAAACCGAAAAAAATAACAGTAGGATGAAACCCATTGGAAAAGGAAAAGAATATACTAAAAATAAAAGGAAAAATAAATTACGGGCGATCTAACTTCGGGAAGTGGGAGGGGGGGTTTTAAGGGTAAAAAATGGTTTATCTCGATTTCCGGCAAAACTACAAGTCCTATGGAAAAAAATTAAATGGCAAAGTTGTAGGTAATAAAAGGATCTACAACTTTTGTAATTACAATTTTTTTACATAACCTCAAAATTTATGTGAAAAATTCAAAAAACCAAGTTTTTGGTTTTTTATTTTTATCTTTTTCAAAAAAAAATTTTTTTCCACGAAATTTGGTGAAAACTTACCTTTTATGTCCCAAATACACTGTAATTTATTTGATTTGAAATATTTATTATTTCGCCTTATTTTGACTTAATATCAAAAAAGCACCCTAATTTTCAATCGAAAATTCTCGCGTCAAAATATCAGCTTTTTTCAAAAAGTCGGTGTGCTTTTTGTTCGTTGAAATCTCTACTTTCTGATGGTGTAAAAAAAATATACATTACTATGGTAAATGTTCTCAGAAAATGCAAAAAATATTATAATGAATAACGAAAAAAACTCGAATTCGAAAATTTATTTTAATCATTATGTACAATTTCATCAAAAAAATGTGATTGTTGCAATTTTTTTTAGTTAAAAAGTTTATTTATTAAATTCTAATAACATTTATGTCAGAAAATGTCAAAATATAAAAATACATGTAAATCATACTATTGAATTTAGATACTTCATTCTGATTACGTTATTCATTATAATATTTTTTGTATTTTCTGAGAACATTTACCATAGTAATGTATATTTTTTTACACCATCAGAAAGTAGAGAGTTCATCGAACAAAAAGCACACCGACTTTTTGAAAAAAGCTGATATTTTGACGCGAGAATTTTCGATTGAAAATTAGGGTGCTTTTTTGATATTAAGTCAAAATAAGGCGAAATAATAAATATTTCAAATCAAATAAATTACAGTGTATTTGGGACATAAAAAGGTAAGTTTTCACCAAATTTGGTGGAAAAAACCAAAAACTTGGTTTTTTGAATTTTTCACATAAAATTTGAGGTTATGTGAAAAAATTGTAATTACAAAAGTTGTAGATCTTTTTATTACCTACAAATTTGACATTTAACTTTTTTCCATAGGACTTGAAGTTTTGCCGGAAATCGAGATAAACCATTTTTTACCCTTAAACCCCCCCTCCCACTTCCCGAACTCAGATCGCCCGTAATTTATTTTTTCTTTAATTTTTATTATATTCCCCTCCTTTTCCAATGGGTTTCATCCTACTGTTATTTTTTTTCTCTTTTTACCATTTTTAAAGGCTTCTGCACTGGTTTATTAAATATAAATACAAAATAGCATCGTTAAATTAAAAAAGGCACCTTTTTAAACATTAAAAAACCGGGTATACAGGGTGTTCAAAAATAACGTTAATTTATTTCGGACTGATTCTAAACGTAAAAATAAAAGTTTGATTAGGGTCGATTTTTCGTCCTAATATGGTTGGTATATATTTATTTTATGGGATTTGTTAATAACACTGTTCGACAAAATTTTTGGAATTAGCTTACCCAAATTACCCTAGAAAAGTTATTGTCCACCATGTGGCACAATTGCTGTCGACCAGTATAATTTATCCAAAAATATTTTTTTTCATTCATAATAATCATTGTAGATATAAATAAAATACTGTTTATTTTAAAATTTTTATTGAATTTGTTAATTTTTTTAATTCATGGCTTCATACTATCATTCTTCAGAGCATTGGCCAATATGTGCACAGTTCAGTTTGTAAACAAATAAATAACTATAACTATCTTATAAGAATTTTTTAAAACCAAACTATAAAAATAAAAAATAATTAGCAAAATTATTATTTACAAAATTCACTTTAATCTATGAAGTCGTTTAAAATTCAATTTAAAGTTTATTTTACTATAATTATAATTTTATGTTATTCATCAATTTGCGAATTGACGTTTTCTCTATTACATGTTGCGCCATCTTAAGCATGCCATTTTAAGTTCAATAACGGTAAATTATTATTCTGTCAGATGCAGAAAGATTAACGCTTAGAATTTTGTCTATTGTTTATGACCCAGATATTTTTACTGAGATGATTGTGTAATCAAGATTTATGCTGCTCTGTTTAATAATTAATTAAAATTTTCGCGAAAATTAAATAAGTTTTCAAGCGAAAATAATTGATTTATAAATTTTAACGCTTAACTATAAATAACTATTATGATAATCAATCACAATTTTGTTTTAATAGTTTTTTGTGTAAAAAGTTAAAAAAGGTTAGTAAAGTTTTTAAAGTTAATGGTCGTTAATTATTTGTTAAATAACGACTTTATTTATTATAAAATTAAAAATTTCAATACAAATCCATTCCTAAATTAAAATCAGGTATCATTTTCTCTGGTGTAACATACATACTAAATTTGTCCTGCTTGCCTCCGGAGAACTAATAAATTAGTTTTCCTTTAAGTTTCTGGGTCATATATGTTTAAATTTAAAAGTAAGAAATTGCTACCATTTGCCTAGCGATTTTATTTCATTCAAGATTTCATCTTTTGGTAGAATAATAAATAGAAAATGAGTTAGGCTTTCTTTTTGTTTATTTTGAGACATACAATTAAATGTTACTTTACTCCAATATATGTTTATGTTTATTGGAATGACATACATGTATGTATGTATATTAATTTTTTATTTTATTATAATTTTAAAAATGTCAATAAAATTTATATATAAATTTTTCTATACTTTTTGAATCAAACATGTAAAAATTTTTATTCATTTATTGGAAACGATAATTGTAAACATCATTTTTCGAAATTCTGCACCGTGTTTTATATTTAGTACCTACCTAAGAATTTTACAACATTTAAAAGAAAAATTTAATCAGTCGTAAAAATTTTGACAAGCCCTGTATACGACTGATTAAATTTTATATGGTTTGTTAAAATTTGATAAAACAATTAATAATAAACATCAATGTAAAAATGTACTGCTATCAAAACATCTCCTAATTTTTGTTGATAACACTGATAACTAGGGATGGGATTTTAGTTATTTTACCTTTTTTCAACCGATGTAACTATTTGAAAACCAATAATGCCAAAATGTGTTTTAAAAGATTTTCTTTTAAATGAACCTAACTTGTTTTCACCTTTTTTACCTTTTTTGGAGGTTTTTGCTTTAAACTACCTTTTTATACTTTTGTTCCATATTTTTTAATTTGTCCATTTATTTTTATCTATTTGTTACCTATTTTTACGTATTTTTACTTATTTTATTTTTTTGTGTTCTTTTTAAATTTTGCCCTAATATTTTATCCAGGGCGTGCAACTTAACAGTATAGAATTTTTTCTTATGGTCACAGACTGTAACAACTTTCTTTACAGTTACCTTCTTTGTAGTGAGCTTATGTTCTGTCATAGAACTTCTGTGTAGTGAGTGTCACTCAGTGAAACACAGTTTATTGCATAGAAATAGTTTATTGTGGGTATGTTGTGTTTGGGTATGCGGCTAAACAAAATTATAAACGAAACTTGAACTTTTAATGTTTTTTTTACCTAAAATGCTTTTTTTTAGTACCTTTTTAGTTACCTATTTTTCAGTTTTTAGTACCTAAATATCCCATCTTTACTGATAACCCTTCACAATGTTGCATATTTGAAAGTTATTTTTAATTATAAACTCCTTTTTTTATAATAATTTTTGATTTGTCAAAAATAAAAGTACTTTACTACTGAGAAAAAATCATATTTTTTGACAAACCGATTGAAATTATTGATAAAATTTGATTTTTGATGGTTGCATTTTAGGTTTTAGATTTTGCACAACTTTTTATGAAAAATGACTTTTTGTAAATGAATAATAAAATAAATTTATATATGCCACCAACTTACTTAGACACACTGTCTATGATTATAGACAAATTTTAGAAAATAAAAAATAAAGTAAAAAATTCTTCAAATAAAAAATATCATCGGTAGGTTTACAAAAAATATTATTGGTAATCTGAGTTTTAGGTAATTAAGGAGATTATGGATTTTTAAATAATAATTTATTCTCGATTTTTAAAACATAAAATTTTGGTAAATTTTTTTTATTTTAAGCAGGTCGTCAAAAATGGCGAATGCACTAGGATTAATTTAGGTATTTATTTAATGTTATTTTTTCTTTAATTTCCTTTAATT